TATAAGTGGCCATCAGAGAATCAGTCACACTGCTCCAGCAACTCACAGCTATTTATTGAGATGTGTGTGTGCCTATGAGCATGTGTGCATGTACATGAGTGGCGAATGAGTGAGTGAATGAACTGAAAGAATCTAAGAGTGAATTAATTGGTAAGCAAACGAGTGAATTAGTGACTTAATGAGTCAGCAAGTGAGTGAAGAAAGTGTGTAAAATTGAGTAGATCATGCTCCTTGCTCCCACAACTAATCCAATAAGCGGTGGCATAAATTTTTCATCTTTATTAACACAAACAGAGGTTAAGAATAGCACAGGAAATGTTACAGACCATCAGCTGGATGAGAAAGATACTATATTCCTTTCTTCTCGCTGCTTTAACAAATTACTACAAACTTAGTGGCCTGAAACAACACAGATTGTCTTACAATCCTGGGGGATGGGGGTCCAAAATGGGTATCGATGGGCCAAGATCAAGGTGTCTACAGGGCTGTGCTCTCTGGAGCTCTAGGGGAGGATCTGTTTGCTAGCCTTCCCCAACTTCTGGCCACATCGTTTCCTGGCTTGTGGTCTCTTTCTCCATCTTCAAAGCCAGCAGTGCTGCATCTAATAATCTGCATCTGTTACCACATCTCCATCTCAAACTTTTGACACTCCTGCCTTCCTCTTATAGCGACCCACGTGATTACATATCCAGGTAGCCCAGGATAATCCACCCATCTCAAATCCTTAACATAATCACATCTGCAAACTTTCTTTTGCCATGGAAGGTAGATAACACAATCATGGGCTTCTGGGTTTCAGATGTGGACATCTCTGTGGAGCCGTTATCGTATCTATCCTTCCTCAAGAGGATACTTTTCTCACAAATACCTTCCTCAGAGGGCATATGCAGTCACTGATTCCTAAGAGGGGCATGAGGGGGATGAAGGAAGCATCAGAGCATTTACTAGATGCCCAAGCCTGGTACTTTTGCTCTTCGTCTTGTGGCCTGAGCACTGGGATTTTTGAAACCTCCTCAGACGGTTCCAGCATGCCCCCAAATTTGGGGAACACTGTTACAGAAGATATGCCAAGATCATACGCCACTACAATTGAGGGTCAAATCTGCCCTGAGATTTCTGGAAGAGAAGGGTCAAGGTATCTCAACTCTGGGTGCACATTACTGTCAGCTGGGGAGATTTTCGAAAGACTTTTTATTTTGAAGTGAGAAGAGAGTTGCAAAGATAGTACAGAAATTTCCTGTAGACCCATCACCCAGCTTCCTCTAACATTAGCATCTTACATAACCATGCTACATGTATCCAGACTAAGCAATCAACATTGGTACAGTACTGTTAGCCCAATGGAAGACTTCATTCGCATTTCTCCAGTCTTTTCACCAATGCCTTTTCTCTTGGTCCAGAATCCTGTCCACATCTTCCATAGCACTGAGACACTGAATCTAGTTGGTCTTTAATTTGTGTCAGTTTCTCAGGCTTTCTTTGCTTTCCCAAGACCTTGGCATGTTTGAAGAGTACCGGTCAAGTATTTTGTAGAATATCCCTTAATTTGGGCTGGTCTAACATTTTCTCATGATTAGACCATGGGTTATGGAATTGGGGAAAGATAATCGTTATTTGATTAAGGTGGTATCTGTCAGTTTTCTCCACTGGAAAGACACAATTTGAACTTTTCCACACTCTATTCATTAGAAGTGAGTCCCTACGTCCAGCCCACATGGCATGGGTACATTATTCTCATCATTCGTTAGTTGCTCCATACTGCCTTGTTACCACCTCATTGCTCTTTATTGATAAGGTTGTAACAAGCTAGACCCAGCTAGTAAGCGGCAAAACTAACATTTGAACTCATGTCTCCCTGACTCTAAGCCATGTTCTCTTTCCACTTCGTTACCATTCATTGCTAAGTCAAGAGGATCTCACAGTCTCTAAAGTAGGAGCTACCCCTCAGCTTGCCTATATAGTGTTCTTCAAATCAGTTCAAAGTAGGTCATGAGATCAGTCTGCAGGTTGCACTTTAAATAACAAAACAGGAACTATAACAGGATAGAAAAGAGTATATCACACACATAGTAAGTATAGTTTCATAAAGCTTTTGTTTCTGTATACTCTGTGTTTAGAGACCCTTATCTTTACAGTGGGGATAAAAATAGCACCTCCTCCAACACACACATACACACACACACGGTTGTTATAGATTAAATCAATTGATGTAGGTAAAGCACTTAGAAAAGAGACTGGCACACATTAAGCAGTATATAAATATAATGAACTATGCATGTGCACAAATGGGTCATGATGTAAAATGTATTTCCTATTGTAAACTGCAATTAACAAGTTAGAAAACACTGAACTCATATCTTTAGACCAGCGTCAGCAGATTTCTGACCTCCAGCCCACTACTTGTTTTTGTAAAGTTTTATCAGGGGCATAACCACACTCATTGGTGTATATATTGTCTATGGCTACTTTTGAGCTACAATGGTAGAGTTGAGTACTTCCAATAGAAGCCATATGGCCCACAAAGTTGAAAATATTTACGATCTGGTTATCCAGACCCATAAACCTTCCTAGAGGTCATCTCATAATACAAGTGTTGTTAGATGCCTCTATTGAGGCCATCTGGCCCTGTTCTGCTACTGCCCTGGCAGGCATGTTTGCCCCTGCAGACCATTCTGGGCTGTGTGACTGCTGGGTGCTTGGGCCTTGAGAAGCTCACTACCTTCGACACTGAACTGGTGCCCACGCTTGCTTTATTTATCCACCTTCATGGCTGTTCATGGTGGAAAGCCAGAAACATGGTACACCGGTCAGGGTCCCAGTAGGAAACAGATGGCCATTCAAATTAGAAGAATTTGAGGCGTGTTTAATAAAGAAGCTCTTTACAAAGGGAAGGGCAAGGTGTAGGAAAGCCACAGGCATAGCAGAGTCCTCAGAGGCTAGTAAAAGCTGAGCTCTTACCACCCTTGGCAGGAGAGGACAAGCAGAGGGAGCAATTCCTGAACCTAGAAGGAGTCAGTCACTTGGAAAAGACCCTTAGTTGGAGCCAAGACCTCAGTCCCGGGTCGGAGAACCTGTGAAGAGGGAGCCAGAATAAGTGTCCTGACTTCACCTTCCTCTCTCCCTGATCTACTGTTGGGGTCCCCATTGGCCAAACTGAAATGGAAGCCAGATGGCATGAGACTCATTGATGTGGTCTCACCTTCCCAGGGCAAAAGGGCAGGGTGGAGAAGGTTGGAAAGTCTCAGCTACCAACACACATAGCATTGATTTAGAAATCCAGGCATGTTGACCGTGCTTAAGGTCCTCCAGACAATGTCCCCATTTCATCTCTTCAAGTTGAGAGTGTGGCCCAGACACCAAAGGGTGGCCACAGCTTTTACCTTTCACCACCTTGTCTTCCTAGATCTGTTAGGCTCCAGATGATTATCATGGGGTTAATCCTTCTGGATCTTTTCATCATGAGAAGGGTAGGAGGTCATGAATGGAGGCACAGATGAGCCGCTGGGGTTTTTGTGAGACTGAGCAGAGTCTGATTAATATTTATAGATGTTAGCCAAGTCCTTCCATCTCGGAGAGGAGCTATGTCCCATTCCCCTTGGTAGCCCAGCTCAAATCCAACAAACAGGTGAGCCAACCTGCGGTGGCCCTTGGGAAAAAGGACTGCAGCACAAAAAGCTAACTAGGCTGAGAAATGTTCTCACTGGCCAGACCCCTCTGCCCCCACCGCTAACCCAGACTGCCTCAGCTGGCATCTGATATTTTACAGGCCCCTAAATGCAGCCATAAAACTAAAGCATGTCACCCGGAGGGTCTTTCTTGGCCAGTCCAAAGCACCCATTTTACAGATAGGAAATCATAGGCTTACAGGAAAGAAGGGGCTGGTCAGTAGTCCAGTCGCCTTGTCGCAGAGCTGGGGATAAAATTCAGGACTAGGGACGCTCATCAATTTTCATATTTCTTTTACAGAAGATGGATGTTGAAGTCAGTCCCGGAGCCCTGGGAATGACTGTAAGTGCGGTCGGACTAGTCTTAGGCAGCTTTCTCATCAGGCTCAGTAACCGAGGCCATACACTGGAACCATCGGCCTCGGAGGCACCAGTTCTGAGGAGGCAGCATGTGAAGCACAAGCTTGAGTCATGCAAATCAGCCCAAATTCAGACTCCCACCTGTTAGTGGCTATTTTACCCTAATTTTTGTGTTAATGAGGCTCCATTTTCCAGCCCTATCGATTCAGCACTATTATCAACCACCGAGTTGTATTAACCCCAGTGCCTTCCAAGCAAGGACCTTAAAGTGTCCAAAGGTCACTAGATGACACTTCTATTGTCTTTCTTTCTTCCTTCATCCGGAAGAAGGGTAGAATATTTGCAACTGCTTTCACAACAAATCAGAAGCCAGCTAGTTTGAGTGTAGCCATTAGGGCTCCGTTCTCTAACCCTGAGAGACAGGGATCCCTGAGATGAGAGCAGAGAGGCCTCCTGATAAGCCAAGGATTTGACCCCACTTTCATGGACTCAAGTGTAATTAGTAAAACCTCAAGGTTCTCCTCCCTCCACCTACCCCGCCCCCCAGTTCTTCAGAGCGATGAAGAATTTAGATGTATAGCCCAAATGCTCGGGTTTTAAATTAGACAACTTTGTCCTGACAGGAACCGAGTCACGGCTGTCATACCTGATTATTTTTAGAGTCACTACTAAACTCTTTGAATGGTGTGAGCTGCCACCATTCAAGGCAAACAGAAAGACTTCACATTTTATCATGACAGCTCAGAGCCATCCACCTCCTCGTGTTCGTTATTTCCATCCTGACTGTGGAAGGGATCATGCGGCATCTTGACAATCTTACGGCAAGGAAGGCAGACCCCATGGCTCTTTACTACATCTGAGGGACTGAAAGCTCCCATTGCTGAGCAAAGCCTGTGGCCTCCAGGAAGCCAAGGAGAAATATTCTAGAGGAAGGGGCTGCTCCCTAGCCTCGTCTGGATGAACCATCATTGCTCATGAGAAGCAGAAATGGACCCTCAAGTAACCAACCAATAAGAGTGGCTGTATGCAAATGCTGCAGGCTGGTGAATGATGTCACAGTCCCCTCCTCTGACTCAATAATGCCACCACCACTGAAAAGGCTGACTCCTGACCGTAGCTCTTCAGAGAGAAAAATTCACCGCAAGCAGAGCACCTTCTAGATTGTTCCTGGAGTGTGGAGACAGAAGTCTCTGCTATCCAAGTTACTGAATCCAGAAAAAAAAAAAAATGACCTTATGAACATGGGAAAAGAAATTGAGCTAAGGCCCAAGGCAAATGTCTCTTCTTACATCCACTTTTTGCTGAATTACAGGAACAAGTTCAAGGAGCAGCAGCCAAATACCTACCTCAGCTTTAAAGAGTTCTCTAGAAAGTGTTCGGAAAAATGGAGATCCATCTCAAAACATGAAAAGGCCAAATATGAAGCCCTGGCCAAGCTCGACAAAGCCCGATACCAGGAAGAGATGATGAATTATGGTGGCAAGAAGAAGAAGAGGAGAAAGAGGGACCCCTACGCACCCAGACGGCCCCCATCGTCTTTCTTGCTCTTCTGCCAAGACCACTATGCCCAATTGAAGAGGGAGAATCCGAACTGGTCTGTAGTGCAGGTGGCAAAGGCCTCAGGGAAGATGTGGTCAGCAACAACAGGTGCTGAAAGGCAGCCATATGAGCAAAGAGCAGCTCTCCTGAGAGCCAAGTACCAAGAGGACCTGGAAATCTACCGTAAACAACGTAAGGCCAACAAGGGCCACCAACGGTCAGCTAAGAACCAGTGAAGAGGGAAAATGGAGTCGGACAAGGCTGACGGATCCAATTAGAAATAAAATGTCATTCAACTGTATTGCCTGTCTCTGGTCTCCTGTGTGGCATTACAGCGGTTGTGGCTGCTGCTGCTTGGAGGAAGTGAGTGGGGTGGTAGTTGAGGTTGGGGTTTGGAAGCTGACCCTGGGGAGGGCTGGCTTTGAGACAGGTAGCAAAGGTGTCCACAGAGCAGCCCGTGAGGTCAGTACCTACAGAGCTTGGCTTGGGCAGGTCGGATGGGAGTCTCCAGGTGCAAAGTGGAAGTCATGGAGGTAAGGGCATCCTGGTTGCAAGTGGTTATCTAGGGCAGAAGACTCTCCTCAGGATCAGGTACATGAGCACCGGTCCTTCAGTCCTGCCATTCTCTTTAGCAGGAGGGCCAGAAGGCCTGGAGTTCAAGTTGCACTCCCAGTTCAGGCCCAGCAGAGGTTGAGAAACTGGAATTTAGGTGGGCCTTGGGGGGTTTGGTTTCTCCAGTAATTCTAGAACTGCTCCTCCAGCAAGCCTTACATACCATTCCAAGATGAGACTCCAGCGGTGATCCCTACTCTAGTGGGGATGAAGCTCTGGACTGATTTTACAAAAACAGACATTTGACTCTGCCCAAGTCCTACAACTTGGAGAAAACCCTGTCGTAATTTTGGTGGGCATCCACCCACTCATTTTTCTATGCTTATAAGCATAACACACATGGGCATGGACATTTGTTGCCTTTCTGACTACCCGGTATCCATCCCTTCTCCTCTTGTTCACAGCACCTGCCTCCATCCAAGGCTTGATCAGATGAAGTCCTCCAGTCACACTGATTGGTTCAGTTACAGGCATGTGACCCATGCTGGTCCAATCAGAGTGGACCACAGAACTTTTCCAAGGGATCCTATGGCCCTGTATAGTATAGCCTTGAGGCTGTTGTGAGCCATTTGCCTCATTCTCGGGCCCCAGTGTTAGTCTTTATGGCATCAGGGTATAGTCTTGAGATTTTCATTGAAGATGAACCCACATATTCCATCTTTTTGTCTAAGTTAGTTTGAATTAGGTTTTCTGCCACTTAAAGTCAAAACTGGTAATTTGACACAAATCAGATTGTTTTGTGTCTGTGCTGTAACTATTTTTCAGGCAACAATATACTATGGGCAACGTTTCATATCAATATAGATTGATACGAACTATTTTGAAATGGCTCTTGGCTTCTTGACATCAAAAAGACTGGGCCAAATTGCAAAAATGCTTTTTTGTCACCAGGTTATGCACGCAAGAGGCTTCCCTAATTCCATCTCCATTCCTATTCCATGATGCACTTACACTTCATACTGTACTGCTATTTGTACTCTCAAAACAAAAGTAAAAAGGCTTACTTTGAAAAGTCTTATAGGACTGGGTGAGCCTTTAGGGAATAGAAGGTAATAGAGTAGAGTGATTTCAAAATTCAATGTCTGGAATCAGGCTATTTGTGGGAGACTCACATGTGGCAGATCCTGTGCTGGGTACCAGGAGGCCCCGCATAGACTACTGTTAGGTTCCTGCCCTGAAAGAACTTTCCTTCTGATGAGAGAGTTGGTTGTGGGCATAAGCGACAGCATTACAAGGCACAGTTAAAGTGAAGACTGTACAAAGTGCCGGGGTGGAAGCAGGTACCCCCTACCAAGGCAACCTTTGAAGTCTTCAGGGAGGAAGCAGCTTTATCCTACTTGGCAACCTTGTACTGGTGTTGGCCAGATTCCTGTTTCCCATTCCCTGTTTCCTACAGTTGTTGTTCCAACTTGGCTCTGCTTCCCCTGCAGCCCAACCCCCACTCTCTCAGGAGATGTCCTCATTTTCTAGTTCATTGAGAAAGCAGAGATCATCAAACCTAAGTGCTCTGTTTTCTTCTTTCTCAACATGTAATCCACACCCATCCCTTCCTCCTGGTCTCAAGTCTCACAGGAAGCTGTAACGCACTTGCTACCCTGCTTCCCCTGCCTCCTTCAGGCCTTTGCTCCTCACTGCAAAGATGCAAATCCTTCAGCCTCTAAGCTTGCACAGATTGGCTTGGTGCTATGGTACAAATGGTTCTGATCTTAATGTCTGCAAGACCCTGGGCAAATTCTCTTTCCTCTGAGTTCCTCCCCCGTGCCATGGGGATGATGCCCACCTTGCAGGTTGCTTTAGTGAATAAATGATGTAATACATATAAGAGCACTTGGCACAGTCATTAACACATAATAGGTACTGTGATGGGCATCCTCTAGGGTGGCTGTCTCAAGATTCTCCCTGCTGGTATCCATACCCATGTATGATCCCTTCTGATTAAATATGGGCAGAACATGTAACTTGCTTTTAATCAATAGAATGAAGGAAAACAGATAAGATGTGACTTCTGTGATTATGTAATGATATATAAAACTCCATCTTACTACTTGATTTGCTCTAGAGATTCTCTGTGCTGGCTTGGTGAAGCAGCCAAGCTGAGGAAACCCACATGGCAAAGAATGGTGGTAAGTCTCTAGGAGCTGAGGGTGGCCTCAGACCGATAGCCCAACAAAAACTAACGCTCCCAGTCCTACAACCATGAGGAACTGAATGTTCAGCAACTACATAAGCAGGGAAGTGGGCCCCTCCCCAGTTGAGCCTCCAGATGAAAACCCAGCCCTCACTGACACCTTGATTGCAGCATTGTGAGGTCTCACAGCCAAGCTGAGCTGTTGCTGGATTCCTGACCCACAGAAACCAAGAGACAATGTGTATTGTTTTAAGCCAGTAAGTGTATGGTGATTTGTTACATGACAATAGATAACCAATACAGTATTTAATAAATGCCTGATTTCTTATAATTCTAGAAGAGGCTGTCTTTAGCCTTATGTCTCTCTCTAGCCTCTACTTTAACTGTTTAATTTCCTTTCCTTTGTAACTTCCTGAAGGTGGAAAAGACCACCTCCATCCCTGCCCTGGGCAGAGTCCATCCTGGCTTGTACTCCTCTGTAGTGGTTCCAGTTAAGTTGTTTCCAGCCTGACCTGTGGGCTCCTGATGGGTAGCAGCTGGGTGTTGTACCACACTCCTTTCTGGGAAGTGGGCTGCCACACATCCAGGCCCAGCCCTCATACTGCCCCTTTCTGGTTTCCTGTGTGATTAATTACATGAATGTGGGTGGCCAAGTCATAGTTTTGACAACAGTCTGCATCGCCCCTGCTGAAGACAAATTCCATTAACATTCCTTTATGAAAAAGGCGACAGGAGGGTGTGAATCTGTAGGCTTCTAATGACTGTAATGTAATGACAGAGGAGGGAGGGAAGGAGGAGGAAGAGGAGGAGAAGGAGGAGGGGGAGGAGGAGGAGAGGTGGGAGCCTGGACTAAGTCAGTGGGCTAGAGGAGAAGCAGGCAGGAAGTGTGGTGTGGAGCCAGCACTCCAGACCCACTCAGGTGGGCTCTGTGCCCCTGCCCTTGGGAAGAGGAAGGCAGAGTCTTTGGGCCCACTGCTGTCTCAATGGCTGAATCACTGCACTCTGATCCTTCTCTCCTAAAGCTTTTCCTATGTTCATTTATTCATTCATTTATTCATTTATTCAACAAATATTTATGTAAATCTTATGCTTGCAATATACCAGGAACTGTTCTGATGCTTGGAATACAGCAAGGTCTGTGATCTCTTACGTTCCAGGGAGGGGAAGACAGATAATAAGTCAACAAATAAACACACCGGATCATTTTTTGATAGTGCCAAGTGCTCCAAAGAAAATAAACAAGGGTAATGAGATAAACAGTGACAAGGGAGGTTGAGGGCACGTTAAATCAGTGGCCAAAGATGACATCTGAGTTTGGATTTAAAGGACAAGTAGAAACCAGGCATGCCAAGGTCTGAAGAAAGGGTTCTTCAAGCAGTGGGACAGCTAGTGCAAAGGTCCTGAGACAGAAGTGAGCTTGGCATATTAGAGGGAGGGAAGGGAGGCCAGAATGACAAGGTGTGAGCAAGTGGATGCCTTGCAGCTGGAGAGGGGCAGACCTTAGAAAGGAGTTTATTTTAACATCTAAGTACAGTGGGAAGCCACAGAGTTTTCTGCAGGGCGAGCCATGTACATCCACTTTGATTTCTGGTTATTGGGCATTCTAGAGTCTTCAGAGACTACCAAGTGCCAACAAGGAGATGCTAGCCCCTCTAAGGTATGCAAGAGCTAGAGGCAAGGTTAACAAATATCAAGCCCATGACATGTCTCTTTTTTGGAGGGGAAAAAATCAGGAGCCTCTACTTGGTACTCGTGGGAGCAACTGTAAGCTAAAAATCAAACATGAAAAGTGTGAAACTTCTACTCCTGTGATTCATAAGGGTAGGCATGGGTGGCAGAATGTTCCATAAGGACACTTCTTCCCAGGTCTCATGTTTGCATGTGGAACAGCTTTCACTCGAGTGGTGGTTGTCAACCTTGAGCCTATATTAGAATCACCTCCGGAGCACCTCGGTGGCTCAGTCGGTTGAGCATTCAACTTTGGCTCAGGTCGTCTCGTGGTTTGTGAGTTTGAGCCCCACATCAGGCTCTGTGCTGACAGGTCAGAGCCTAAACCCTGCTTCAGATTCTGTCTCCTTCTCTCTCTGCCCCTCCCCTGCTTGTTCTCTCTCTCTCTCTCTCTCTAAAAAATAAACATTAAAAAAAAAAGAATCACCTCTGAGCATGTTGGACACAGAATGCTATGTCCCCAAAAATGCCATTTTTCTGGGAGTTGGACCTAAACTTTGCATTTCCAAAAGTTCCCAGGTGACACTGATGCTGCTAGTCCCGGGCTTACAGACGAATTCTTCTCCCTCTTGCAACCCAGCCATTCACTTAGAAGAGTGAGTGAGACTTATCTGCCTACTGGGTTTGAGAGAAGGAGCTGACCATCCTTTTCTTTCTTCCCACCCCTCCTTGGCTGCAGAGTGCGCTCAGGTCTGTGTTCCAATTACTTCATTGGTAATAGAGGCGACAGGCTGACCCTCATGTTTTTCTCCTGCACCTGTCAATGGATTTCAAACCTGATGGGAATGAGCATATTTATGTATTGGGTTTACCTCAAATCCCTACAGAGGAGT